GAATTCTAAAGTCTTGTCTAGTCTGTTTTAAGCAACACTTGAGCTGTGAGATTCCAAGGTACTGTCTTTGTCAGAGCATCTATGTCTTCGTGACCCCTGGCTCAAACATGGGCTCTTTTATTAAGTAGCTAGTCTTTAAAGCCAGCTGCTGACCGCAGGTCCTGCAGAATTGCCGTTTTGCTATAAAGAGTCTCACATGTAATAATACCAGTATATTGAGTAATGCAGGAGTGGCTTTAATGAGTGGTTCAACATGAAAGATATGTTTTTACTGCTTATATAAATAGTAGAAAATACTACAGTTTTCTTTAAAACTACTACTGTTCTACTGTCTCTGGATGTTTGTGTTTGTTTATGCTTTTAGAGATTGGTAAGATTTGAAACAGTGCCACAAGACATTGCAGGGGAAAACACAACGTGAGAGCACTTTCATATTGATTTAAGTTAAAAAAAACCATTACTTATGGATCCAAAAGGGATTTTTTTCCTCCACTTTAAGATATTTTCATTCTCACAACCATATTGGAGTTGGTCGTTGAACTTAAATACTTCATGATGTTTTTATAGTTATTGAGAATTTTTCCCAAATAAATTCCCAAACTGTTTTCTTGGCCAAATCTCAAAACTAAAGATACAGTAGGTATTGGTACTGGTATCTGTTTGACTATGTCATGACTTATTGTTAGGATATTACTAACATGTAGCTGTTTTAACAAACCTAGATACCTTATGGATCTATAGTAATCCATGTACTTTGTTTTGTATGTAGACCTGATCTTTTTATGTCACTTGTCTGACTAAGCTCTGTAAATATTAACACTTATTACTTTTGTTCTCTTCCTGATTACATCTAGATATGTCTAAATGAGGATGCATTCAGAATTCTGTGTGAACAAGACAAAGTGCAAATTTTGTTTGTACACTTCTGCTTTCTTTGCGAGTTGTTCTTTGAGCGACAAGGAGAGAATAATAAAATCATTCAATCATGGGACTAATTGAGTAGATGAAAACAATTTTGGGATATGTGATTCTGGCATCAAAAGATGTGCTGGATGTTTTAATGCAGTTCTTCACAAATCAGATGACATGCTGTCTGAAATGCGTGAAGAGCTATCTGAGAGAGAGGGAGGAAGGTGGTATAGAGAACTCTTGTTTGTTCCACAGATTTTCAGGTATTATTCTGGCCAAAAAAAAAAAAAAAAAATATTTAAAACTTGAGAGACCTCTTTTCCTGAGTTTGCAGGGAACCTGAAGCAATGAAAGTATGAACTACCATTGATTTCATGGAGTTCAAGCTCCAATACAACTGATGACAATCAAATTAATTCAGCTCTTTTGTTATTTGGCAATTGATATAAGAACAGAAAAGAAGGTATCATAATATGATAGTTTACATCATCTCTCCCTGAAGTGTTTTCCTGAAGAGATAGGCGCTCAGCTTTCAGAATTTGCTCATTGTAAGGTGTGAAAGGAATGAAATTAAGTCCTCTGTCTGAGACTGAATTTCACTGAATTTATTTGGCCCAAGGCAAGTGATAACAATCAGAATGCATGAAAAGAGTGCGTTTGTATTAGTTCGTTTAAACATCAGTGGTGGTCATATTCAAACCATCTATTGCAAGGGCCTTACCTTAGCCATTGTGACACCTAACTAGTGAAGGTCCAGTTCAGATGTGCCTTGAATTTCTATACAGGCAACAGAGAGCCTACCAACACCATGAACAACTTAGGTTGTCCAAGTAAGGCTCCTGCTTCTCTCCATCAGAGAGTTTAGGTGCTTCCTTGATAGCTGCTTTCATGTACAAAGAGGGAAACTGCCTAGAACCAGCTCACAGGGAGTAGTAAAGCAATTATGCCTGAAACGTAGCCAAACTCAGAGCTACGTAGTAGGATCTTCTGATCAACCGGAGTCTCATCCGTGAACCCATCTCTGAGGGTAGGCAGGTGAAGATGGAGGATTTGCACTATAGCCAAGGTGTTAAGCGCTTGATCGCATAGTTGGAGAGCTGTGTTCAGGCTGAGTAACCTGAATCTTCTTATTAGTTGTCTGTACAGCGTGCAGCAATGTGGTCTTGCTCTTGGTGCAGGGTTCATACGCACTATTCAGTGCAAACAAACATAAGACTTGTGGGTGGAAGAGATCAGAGGGGAAAGGGTTAGATGACCTTAAAGAACCACAGGAAATTTCCAGTGTCTGACAACTAACAGAAGCTATGATGGTACCTAACAGATTAGGTTTGATTTACTTTGGAAATATGTAATATCCTGTCACTTTGAAACTGTTTCTTTTTTCATGGCTATAAGGTGATACAATTTACAACATAGAAAAAAATGCAGATTGATAGCCTAACAGACTTTCTTATATTACCTGCAAGGTCTTTGTATCTTTGTTTTTAAGGTCTATTTCCCTTCTTCTATATTCCTACGCTATGGGAATAGCCTAAATGGAGCTCATAAGAATAGGAAAACAGTTTGATAAATATACGCTTTAGACAGTCTTGCACGTGGGCACAAAATTATCTAAGACTTGATTTAACCTCAGTTCAGTCACGGTACCAAATTGTAGCTGGTACCTAAAATGAGTCAGAGTGGCACACAGCCCTTGTCCCGTGAATATGGTTGGTCACACAAAGATCATCACTCAAAGACATAGTACATCTCTTGTCATTGTGACTGTTGGGGGATTGTGCTGTTTTTTATTGAGTACGTAAGTAGCAAAATGGGATGAAAAAAGGGATACCTCTTTTATTATTATTTCATGGAATCATTGAGGCTGGAAAAAACCTTTAAGATCATCGAGTCCAACTGTAGATTAATGGTATTTCAGAATTTAAATCTGTGTATTCTACAGTCAACCACAGAGTAGAAGACAAAAATATTTTATGTTTATCTGAATGTCATTTTTTTTGTGTGTGTGTGTCAGACTTGGCCTTTGTCACTTGATCTAATACTTCTTCTGGGTACTACTATGAACACAAACCACTCTCCTGACTCAGCAGGTCTCCAAAGCAGTCAGTTTCTTCCTCCCAAAACCCCTAGTCTGTTCTGTAATCCTTGCAGGCTGATGTTCCCAGGTCTCAGGCTGCTCCCTCTTCTGTGGCAGTGTCCTGGTTTCGGCTGGGATAGAGTTAATTTCCTTCCTAGTAGCTGGTACAGTGCTGTGTTTTGGATTTAGGGTGAGAACAAAGTTGATAACACACCCATGTTTTAGTTGTTGCTAAGCAGTGCTTACACTAGTCAAGGACTTTTCAGCTTCCCATCCTCTACCGACTGAGAAGGCTGGAGGTGCACAAGAAGCTGGGAGGGGGCACAGCCAGGACAGCTGACCCAAACTGGCCCAAGGGACATTCCATACCATGGGACGTCATGCTCAGTACATAAACTGGGGAAAGCTGGCTGGGGGGGCCACTGCTCGGGGACTGGCTGGGCATCAGTCGGTGGGTGGTGAGCAATTGCATTGTGCATCACTTGCTTTGTATATATTATTATTATTATTATTCAATTATTAAACTGTTTTTATCTCAACCCACGAGTTTTTCTCACTTCTACTCTTCCAATTCTCCCACCGGGGGGTGGAGGGGAGAGTGAGCGAGCGGCTGTGTGGTGCTTAGTTGCCAACTGAGGTTAAACCACGGCAGACAGCATACATCCGTCTTGCTTCGTGCGTGGAAGCATCCCATGCAGTACTCTCCCACTAAATACATATAACTACACACTAATGTTTCTACTCCTTCATAATCTGCAGGTAGATTTGGAAAGTCTTGTGTGTTGGTCAGCTGGGAAGGAAAGGAGCAGAGGCAAGAAGGAGCATGTGCAGGAAGCTCTATTTCAGTGGTGCTTGATTTTATTTTAACACAAAATTCTGTACTCTCTGCACTGTGACTTGTTTGCTTATTGCCTTTAATCTCTGTGTCAGCCTTATACACTCGAGGGTACTCCTAAATGATAGTCCTTCTGGGTAGTTCGTAGCAAACTTCTTGCAGTCTCTAATGATGCAAGGTCTGGATCGAGGCCTGTACTGACGACACAAGTCCAACAAATTAGTAGCTGATATGAGAAGCAATCATAACCTGGCAAACCCATTTCAGTGAGACTTAGCTCGCAAACCCTAGTATCACTAAATGTGGCTTATCACCAGTTTTAATTATTTCAGACTAAGTTTTTTTCTACATATTTTCCTG